GTCTATGGGATTCTTTAAATACAAGATCATGTCATCTGCAAAGAGGGAGAGTTTTATTTCTTCTTTGACATTTTTCATTTTTATACTTTTTTTGTCTTTTGTGGGGTTTGAACTCACAGCCTGGGCACTGTCTCTGAGCTTTTTCGCTCATGGCTAGAGTTCTACCACTTTGAGCCACAACTCTGGTTATTTGGTGGTTATTTGGAGCTAAGAGTCTCACCGTCTTTTTTGCCCAGGGTGGATTTGAACCGCAATCCTCAGCTCTCAGCTTCCTGAGTAGCTAGGATTACAGGAATGAGCCACCAGAGCCCAGCTCATTTCTTATTTGAAGCCATTAAATATGGCAGTGTTATTGATGGTTTGTTTAGGTATAGACTGGTTGTTATGAAACTACATTTTGGAAGAAGTAGTTTTGTTAAAGATTTGGCTAACTGCCCTTTGATATAAGATAGATAAGGAAAAATGTATTATTTTTAATTTAAGTTAAAATTATAATATGCTTTAAAATAGTCAAACTATATATTTGGTTTTATATAACAATAGCACTTAATAATCAGTATCTAATATGTTGAGTATAATGTACCATACTTAGAAATTTACATGAATTATTTTATTTAATATTCAACATATCAAAGTTTTCTCTATTTTACAATGAATTAACTAAAAATAATGGAGGATAATAAATAAATTTACATGTAATACAGTACTTGTCCAAACAGCAACAGAGTATGTAATTTTATTGAGTTTTTCCAGAGAAACACTGAACTAATAAGATATACAAGTTATTTATATAAGTCGAAATCAGTAGGATATTTGAGCAGGATAGAAAATGAGACCAAATTTCTGTTTCATAGTCTTGAAAATAAATTCTTTCTTAAAAAAAAATCTTAAAAAATAAATAAATAAAACAAAAAAAGAAAATAAATTCTTTCTTATATAGAAAATCAGTTTTTGTTCAGACTATCAAATTGGATTGGATGATCCCAATTGACATTATTGAGGAATACCATTTATCATTTACTTAATATTAACTGATAATAAATCTTGACTCAACATACCTTCACAGCAACAGATGGACTGATGTTTGACCACAATTGAGCATTATAACTTAGCCAAATTGTTACATGGATCTTAACCACGATGCAGAATAAAAGTAGCATGAGTAGCTGTAGAATTTATATCTCTTGCATTGTATTGTTTACTTTGTTATGCAAAAATACTGTATAATCTTGCTAATAATTCAGTTGATAAGATTGATGATACTGCCTCAAATGTCACATTTAGTTTCTGTGGCCAGAGGACAAAGGTTCTTCATAGAAGCAGTCACATGCAGTCAGGTGGTAACATGTTAGACTTAAATTTTGATAATTGGTCAGTTCATCCTATTTCATGTAGCATATACCAACAGAGAGATTGATAGAAACCTACAAGGAACCAGTTATTTTTTTATTTCTTCAAATACTAACTCCTAGTGCTTATTAAATGAAAATAAAAGCCCATACAATTATCTAATACCTATCATCATTTTCTACTAACTGGATCACTGAATTACAAATCTTGAAAGCACAGGTCTTATTCCCTTTAACATTTTTTATTCTTTTTTTTCTTTTTTGGTCGGTCGTGGGGCTTGAACTCTGGGCCTGGGCGCTGTCCCTCAGCTCTTCAGCTCAAGGCAAGCGCTCTACCACTTGAGCTACAGCGCCACTTCCGGTTTTCTGGTGGTTTTTTGAGATAGGAGTCTCACGGTCTCTCCTGCCAGGGCTGGCTTTGAACCGCGATCCTCAGATCTCAGCCTCCTGAGTAGCTACGATTACAGGCGTGAGCCACCAGCGCCCGGCTTTTTTATTCTTTATTATATTTAAGTAGCTGAACAAAGGAGTTGCCATTTAAAAAGCAATTTATGAATATATCATCTATAACACACCTTGATCAGTGTCACCCCTTTCAACAGTCTCACTCTTGCCTTCCAACTTGCCCCTTCCCTTGCTTTTATTAATTTTCTTAATATTATCTTTAAGTGGTCGTTGAAAAAAGTTGCCATGTGACAAAGTAGTTTATAAAAACAATATATCTGATTGATCTCACCCTTTTCTTAAATTTGTAGGATATACACTAAATTCTTGACGGCATTCCCCTCCCCCAACCTTTTCCTCTTGATCCCTGCTGCCCCCAAGTATCTATTTCCTGGGGTTATGTATTGTACTGATTATTTCAATATAGGGTCTTACTATTTGTGCTCTTCTACACGTGATCATGATCTGCCTAACTTTATGCTTTCTACTGTACTTAAGATGGAAGACGCTAGCCACCACATCCAGCTTCCTCCATTGAGATAAAGCATGTTAGTTAACCCAGAACGGCTTGATACTGCAGACTTCTCGAGCTC